AGACAAAGAGATAGAAAGCAAGAAATCGCCCCCCAAGGGGGATGGTCACGCCGCAATCCCTTCTCCTCCATTCTCCTCTCGGGATCTTGGGCATGCACACACACACGCCTGGTGTGAGTTTTAAGCCACAGGGTCCAGGATACAAACTGAAGTCGACTACATGGAAGTCCAGCAACATAGCCATTACGCTAACTGCTGGTCCCAAGAATCTCAGGTTTTTTTTTTTTTTAATTATTTATTTATTTATTTATTTTTGGGAGAGGTTTTTGCTATAGGGCGCCTGCGCTCGCCAGACAGAGACAGACAGAAAGCGAGAAATCCCCCCCCCAGGGGGAATGGCCATGCCACAATCCCTTCTCCTCCATTCTCCGGTTCCTAGAATCTCAATTTTTAAAGCAGGTTAAAAATCGTAATTTTTCACACTCCTAGAAAAACCATGACTGTTTTGCTATGTGTTCACTTCTTGACATTTTTTTGGACTCCTAATGTGTAGAAGCTAATCACTGGGATTTGAAAATACATATGATAGAATCCAGTTCAGTAAATAGGAAGGGTCACATTAGCAAATGATGACTGTCCAATGTCATAAATAGATAACAGAGATGTGTACTGATAACCATAGGAATAGAAAAAAATTTTTAAAAAAAGAAAAGAAAATAATACCTAGCCTTAAACAGAGAAGTTAGAAAGTTTTCAAAGAGAAAAGAATTTTTGAGACAAATTCTCAAGAGTATAGTTAATATGGAAAAATATTTACATAAAGTTCAAACCCAGAGGATGTCAGTTTGTATTTTTTAATATTTTAGGTTAAAATTTTTAAATGTAAAGAGCAAAACACAGGGCAAAAGAAAATACACTTGAGTTTAGCACATCTAAACCCAAACAAATATATCAACCACATTTTTTAATACTCATCACTTAGAAGAAAGAACTAATAATTCTTTAAAACCTTCACCAATGACATTTTTGTAAGATAAAGGCATGTTTTGGTGTTATGTCTGTGTATTTGGGTCTGTATGACAAACATGTAGATAATAATAACTCTCTAGTTTTATTTAAAACAATGTTTTTGTGGGTAAACTTGGTAAATTATTGTCATTGAGAAGGAACCTGTGTTTTTCTCACTCCAGTGAGGCTGCTAGTTTAGTTTAGAATCTACTATTCAGTCAGTTTTTTCATATATATTATTTATTTATTTTTATTTAGGGGATACTTCTGAATCATAATACTGGTGAATCACCATAAAAATAATTCTTTTTTTTTCTCATATGCTAAATAATTTTTTAAAATTATGTTGTTGAACTTTATTTATTTTATTATTTTTTTTTAATTTGACCAGAGATGGACAGAGAGAGGAAGAGAGAGAAAGTAAGAAGACAAGACACTAGGTCCAGGAACTGCATTTGACCATGTGAGAGTCCAGCACCCTTAACCATCACGCCATGTGTTGACCTCGCTAAATGATTTTTATTGGTGAATATTTAAAGTGTTTTTTCCTATAATGACAATGACAGGTAGGCAAATATGAACTCTTGTACTAGAGAAATTTTCTTAGAAAATCTGTTTGTCAGTGATAGATTGTTCTGTAATGTACTTAGCTAATATATGAACTGACATCAGATTAATGTGAGCTTTGCAAACATCATAATACTGTTGTAATATTGTGTTGTATTTTTCTTTTGACTCCCAGTTTAGAACATATATATCATTAAATTTTTCTTCTTTTAATGGTTGTATGAAATAAAAATAACAAGTTTAAGTATGACTTAGTTCTTTATCCAAGATTACAATATATCTAGTAAAGGAGAGAGTTAATACCAATCCCTCATTCCCAGCTACTGGTTAAACTTGGAGGATTAAACCTGTGAACAAAACAGCATCTTGTCTTTCGCAGCCTGGTCTATATTTGAATTTAATTTTCAGAAGCCAATTTCATGAGTCATTTCATGTGAATTTATGTATGCTGCTCTGACTAGAATTATTTATTACATTTTATTTGTGTAATTTGATTTCTGACTGAGCATGATGATGATCCATCCTTTTACCTAACCCCACACTCTGAAGACACTAACAGTAGGAAAAAAGAAAGTCAGATTTAAAATCCAAACTAAACTACTTGCAAAATATGAAATAGTAAATGATGGAAACAAAATATTAGAATATTGTAAGACAGATTTTATGTAGGTTACAGCAATGAAGGGACAGTAAAACTGATGCATTGATGCTAACATACTAAACTAATGTAGCAATTACAGATATATCCAGTAATAGCACATAAATGTCGAAGTAGAAACTTACAATTTTATACAAAATTTATGTACACTTACACTGTTTATATTGTGTCATGTCAAGAAATACATTTAGAGATGATAGCCATGGATTGTTTTTATTTAAGGAGTTGTACGTTTTAACTAGAAAGTGTTTGCTCCTAAAAGAACTTTTAAAATATATGTCAGAAATACATTTACTTAGGGCCAGCAGGTGGCATGGTGGTCAAGGTTAGATTCCCACATGGCTTACCATAGTTCAAATCCCAGAACCAGTAACTTGAAAATCATGCCATTGACATGTGTGTGTGTGCCCAAAATCCCAGTAGGAGAATGGAGCAGAAGGGATTGTTGCATGGCCATCTCTCTGAGAGAGGGAGGGTTATTTCTCACTTCCCTCTCTCTGTCTCTCTCTGCCTCTCTCCAGTGAGCAGACATGTTATATGAAAAAAAAAATAAAAGTTTAATTATAGTTTTTCTACTTCAAATAGTTTGCATTTGTTTTTCTCAACATATTGACTGGTTCTATCACTATTCTTCCACACATGTTATATGACAAAAAAAAATAAAATAAAAGTTTAATTATAGTTTTTCTACTTCAAATAGTTTGCATTTGTTTTTCTCAACATATTGACTGGTTCTATCACTATTCTTCCAGTGTGATGATTGGTGGCGGGTATCAGAAACTCAAATTTCTATGAGTATCAGACAGTTTTTGTTTTGTTTTCATGTAAAAGTGATGTTAAATATTAGCGAGCAATGGGGAGAATGACCAGTTGCAAGTATATTTCCCAGTGAAAAAGGCTGGCCCTGCTTTGCCTCAATCAGATACTTCCATGTTACAACCCAGTGCTATCATATCTTGAGAGTTTTCAAAGGCAGGAAGAACTTTTAAATTTTTGTGTTAACTAATCCAAAACTTTAAAATATTTGTGCGGCCAGATAAAACATGTCTTTTGGCCATAGTTGGTAGATCTCTAAGCAGAGACGTGATTATTCAGAAATGATCATGGTGCCCCTTAATGAAGACCTAGTTCTTGTCAGGCTTTCCTGTCCTTTGCTATTTATTTCACTCTCTTTAATCCTATTTCTCAATGGGTGCATAAGAAAGCCATAGAAACATTTTCATTATATTCCTATGGATGGAAAAATTGTCACAAGTATAAAGAGTTGTCATTTGTGTCTGTTTGTTTTTTTCTATCTGCAGCCTAAAATGCTTTGTATTGTTCCTTCCAGCATAATGCTACTGACTTCCTTAAATAAACTTTGATTACATACATCATCTTGTTATAAGGAATTCTGGATCTTCAAACTTTAAAAAAAAAAGTACTGATTATTTCTTTTCTGTGTTCCCTCCTGAGAACATAACGTATTGGTCTATCTTCAGTTTTAGTACCATCCTGGCAAATAAAAGTTTGAATGGAATTAATTTATTAATGGAAGTTTGTTATTTTATTCATTAATTCATTTCTCATTCATTCATTATATACACTTTTCCTTAGCAAAAACTGTGAGTCAAGCATGTTATCAAATATCATTTGATATTTGTAGATCATTAACTAGGTCTGGGAAACCATTCTGTTTGGAAAAGAAAACTACAGTGGTATTCAATTTATGAGATATAACATACATGTTAATGTATCAGCACACATTTTACCTTTGGTTATGTATTTATGTTTGGAGTATCATTTTCTGAATTGTTCCTAGAATAGTATAATATTAAACTATACAAGGGAACTTGTATAGTAAACTACTTCATCATATCAATAAATCAATCATGTACTTGATTTATATTCTGAAAGAATCATATTCTGTAGTAAAAGCAGGGTTGGGTCACCAAAATTAATAGGAGCCCTGAGTTTCAGTTCAGTTACAGTTGCCTATGCTAACTTTAAAAATCAAAAGTAGCCCCATGTGTAAAAATAGGATTATACACACTGACATACTATGGCTTATTTATATAGGTTATATTTAATGGTTTTATTCTTCAACTTAATTCTTAAATGTCATCATACTGGATTGCCAATTTAAAGACAGAATGTCTTTGTAACATGAGAATGTGCTTATACAAAAAAAATATATTTCTTTGTAATCAAGGATTCATATTTTCTTTTTGAGGTTCATTTTTATCATACATGGTGCAAGATGTCTCATTAGCATTTTTAATGTTCACTAAAGGTAGAATAATTGCCTTTAGAGATATCTCTTTCCCAATTCCTTGAAGATGTGAATATGTTGAATTACAAGGCAAAAGGGAAATAAGATTGCAGGTGGGATTAAAGCTACTAATCAGTGGGTTTTAAGACAGGGTTGTAGGCCCAGACTATCTGACTTGGTCCAACATGATCACAAAGTCCATAAAAATGGAAGAGAAGATCAGAAAGAAGGTCTCAGCTTAATACAGGAGTGGGCCATGAACCTGGGAAAGTGGGCAACCTCTATCAGCTACAAAAGGCAAAGAAATGGAGTGTCCTCTATCTTCTGCAGAAATGCATATCTTCTGATACCTGCCAACTCCTAGTGAGACCCATTCAGGACTTAAATTCAAAATAATATGATTATACTGTTTTACATCACTAAATCTGTGGTAATCTGATAAAGCAACCAAATGAGCAAATACACTAAGAAAGTTTTGCTTTTCAGAATCTTCTGTTACCTAAATAGCATTAACTTAAAAAGTTCAAATTTTCAGACTTTTCTTAAGGCACTGTCTACCTGTTTGTTTGTTTTTAGGAGATAATCCATAGTAGCCAGGTGGACATTTCAAGGAGCAGTGAGGAAATGGCAAGAAGTGAACAAGAAGTTTCTAAAGCACAAGAAATAGATGTACTTGGAACAGAAATGGTAACTACTTAGAAAGACAATGCATTCCAAACAGTTTCCGTAACTATGTGGACATTCTGACATTGTCCTAAGCATTTGCATTTATTGTCTTTTATGTATCTAATATCAATACATATATTAGTGCCTATATTCCCACTTTCGAGTTGAAATTATTTTTAAAGTAGTATAGGCACCTTAAAAATATAATTGCACTGGGACCAGCAAATGGTATAATGGCTATGTTGATAGATTCCCCATGTAGTTGACCAAGGTTTGAGTTCCGGACACGGTGGCTTAAACTCATGCTGGGCACGTGTGCATGCATGCTCAAGATCTCAAGAGGAGAATGGAGGAGATGGGATTGCGGTGTGGCCATCCCCCTTGGGGTGTATATATATATTTGCACTTAGGTGTGTCCATTCAAATATGTTATACTATAACATGAGTCTATGATTTAAAATAAATGATAAAGGCTTAATTGGAATCTCAATGTGAAAATCTTGGATGAAAATCACTATAAAATTCAAAATATTATTTATATTACTGAAATAATTATTTCATAAATAAATTGTTTTTGTTTTTTTCAAATATTCTTTAAAATACAGGTCTCTCATGTGGAAAAGCACACCAAGGAAATAAACCAAGCTTCTCAGTTCCATCAGTATGTTCAAGAAACAGGTAAGGTTCTGATAGACCCCAATATATATATATATTTCCCTATTGAAGTGTTTGAGTTTGAATGGAGGACTTCCAAAACACAGACAACTTCACTGGGTAACTTTAGTAACCATGACTCATGGTTCCAAATAGGGCTGAGTAGTGTTTCCACATATAATTAGGTTTTGCCTGTGGTAGTAAGTGCAATAAGTTTCTAAAATAGTGCATTGCCTATCAGTCCTATGATGCATCCTAAACCCAAAAGGTGATAAGCTAGCCACCTCTGAATTCTTTGTTGGCTTAGGAACCTGGAATAAAACTCAATGTTTATCAAGCTCCCTGAACATGGAATTACTGTTTAAATTGAATTAATTTCAACAGCATATTTTAGCACTATTAAGTCTAGCTCTCCAACCAATATCCAGTAAGAAGACCATAGACAAATTTGTGCAAATTTTCATGAGAGAAAACACTGTTTGTCTTGCCTATAAAAGGGGAATATGTCTTGCTTCTCTTCACCTAAAGGAGAAGATTTATACTAATTAGACTAAAACATTACTTGACCAAATCATTATTGTAATCTATATTTCCCTTCTATATTTCTACCTATATTCCTACCTAGATTACACTATAATGAAATAGTGCTATATTTGACTCTTTATTTAGCTTATATTGTGAGAAGGTTCCCATGACATTACAAAATTTCCCAAGCATAGTTTTTATTAATTCCATAGTATCTCCAGTACTCTTTTCTGTTCTAGTCATTGATACACCTGAGGATGGAGAGATTCCAAAGGTTTCAACTAAGTATTTAAAAGAGCAATTTGAAAAGCCTGCCCAGGAAAAGATCCTTTTCTCTGACAATGAAATGACAACTCCAGCTAAGCAGATTAAGGTAAGGTAACTTCTCTACATGGGAACACATTAAGTGTTAAACTAGGCTTAAATGCTAAACATTTTTTAATTGTTGAATATTTGAGGTGACTTTTCAAAAAAGTATACCTAGAACCAGCACTTACTCAGTTCCATCAGGAAAATATTGATCTACATGAGAAAAGAGATGAGTAAAACTTTTCTCATTAGAGAAAATGAAGAAAAACTTATGTGTATTCTAAAATCTAATTATTAACCTTAAAGTAATTAAGTCTACTTTAAATACAAGGTGCTTATTCTGTGTTGTATAAATTATCAAAGAAAACAAAAACCTGCCATATACTCTATGACTTTTACTATTTAGATTGTTCTGATAGCACATTAAGTAAAGGGATAAAAAAAATCAAGATTATATGTAAGTGTTAAAATATGGAACAGATGCTTGAATATGGGCTATAACTTTACAAGTAAAAATGATTATAGAAAAGGTAGTAACAAACCTTGAGTATCATTCCTAAAAAGGTCTTTAAATGAAGAATATCACCGGTTTTTTCCAATGGGGGAGTCAGAGCAGGATCTTGCTTCACTTGTTTGAGGGGCAATGCCTAGGAAACCTCTACTGCTACCCTCATCTTTATAAGATTTGATTTTCTCTCCCCCAAAGATTGAAGGTGGACATGAAGAGACTTTAAGATCATCATCAGTTGTGGGTACATCTTCCACTTCTAACACTTCAACCAGCCAGAGAAAGGAAACATCAGCCACAAGATATAGTGATCACAGGGTCACTTCCTCAACTCTGAAAAGAGATGAGTAAAACTTTTCTCATTAGAGAAAATGAAGAAAAACTTATGTGTATTCTAAAATCTAATTATTAACCTTTAAGTAATTAAGTCTACTTTAAATACAAGGTGCTTATTCTGTGTTGTATAAATTATCAAAGAAAACAAAAACCTGCCATATACTCTATGACTTTTACTATTTAGATTGTTCTGATAGCACATTAAGTAAAGGGATAAAAAAAATCAAGATTATATGTAAGTGTTAAAATATGGAACAGATGCTTGAATATGGGCTATAACTTTACAAGTAAAAATGATTATAGAAAAGGTAGTAACAAACCTTGAGTATCATTCCTAAAAAGGTCTTTAAATGAAGAATATCACCGGTTTTTTCCAATGGGGGAGTCAGAGCAGGATCTTGCTTCACTTGTTTGAGGGGCAATGCCTAGGAAACCTCTACTGCTACCCTCATCTTTATAAGATTTGATTTTCTCTCCCCCAAAGATTGAAGGTGGACATGAAGAGACTTTAAGATCATCATCAGTTGTGGGTACATCTTCCACTTCTTACACTTCAACCAGCCAGAGAAAGGAAACATCAGCCACAAGATATAGTGATCACAGGGTCACTTCCTCAACTCTGGCACAAGTAAATGCCACTCTTTCAGGAAAAATGGAAGAATTTCCTCCTCCACCACCTGATATACTTCAGACTCCAATAGATGTGACAGCATTTTCCCAGTCCCCTGAACTCCCCAGCCCTCCTAGAGGACTACCAGTCCCCAAAGATGTATATTCTAAGCAAAGAAATTTATATGAATTAAATCGTTTATATAAACACATCCATCCTGAGTTAAGAAAAAACTTAGAAAAAGATTACATAAGTGAGGTTTCTGAGATTGTTTCTAGTCAGATGAACTCAGGGAGCTTAGTTTCAGCAGATGTGCAGCAAGCTCGTTATGTTTTTGAAAATTCAAATGACAATTCTCACAAAGACCTGACTTCAGAAAGAGAACACTTAGAATGGGATGAAATTCTGAAGGGAGAGGTGCAGTCCATTAGATGGATCTTTGAGAATCAGCCACTAGATGCTATCAACAATGGCTCTCCTGAAGTAGGGGACATTTCCAGGGGCATTGCTGATCAAGAAATAATTGTTGGTGGTGATGTGAAATATACCACATGGATGTTTGAAACCCAGCCCATAGATACACTTGGAGTTCATTCTTCTAGCACTGAAGAAAATGCTGACAAAATTCCTGAACTAGCCAGAGGAGATGTCAGTACAGCCCGGTGGATGTTCGAAACAAGGCCATTAGATTCAATGAATAAAATGTATGAAAGTCAAGAAGAATCAGCTGTAACTTTTGTTAAGGACATAACTGGAGGGGATGTCAAAACTGTGAGATACATGTTTGAAACTCAACATCTGGATCAACTTGGACCACTTCATTCAGTGGATGAGGTTCAGTTACTGCAACTCAGATCTGAGCTCAAAGAAATTAAGGGAAATGTTAAGCGAAGTATAAAACGTTTTGAAACTCAACCATTATATGTTATTAGAGATGGTTTGGGTCAAATACTAGAAATTAAAACTGTCCAGAGAGAAGATATTGAAAAAGGGGATGTCAAGACTGCACGCTGGATGTTTGAAACACAGCCCTTAGACACAATTAACAAGGATATCACAGAAATTAAAATTGTTCGTGGCATATCCATGGAAGAAAATGTCAAAGGTGGAGTGAGTAGGGCAAAATGGTTATTTGAAACTCAACCTTTGGAGAAGATCAAAGACGAGTTAGAAGAGGTTATTATTGAAAAGGAAACAATAATAGGTACAGATGTCTCCAGAAAGTGTTGGATGTTTGAAACACAGCCATTAGATATTCTTAAAGAAGATTCTGATACAGATACTCTACCACCTAAAGAGATACTAGGGGGTGATGTACAAACTACTAAGCATCTATTTGAAACACTTCCAATAGAAGCTTTAAAAGACAGTCCCGATGTAGGGAAGCTTCAAAAAATCACTGCCTCTGAAGAAGAAAAGGGGGATGTGCGACACCAAAAATGGATTTTTGAAACCCAACCTTTGGAAAATATTAGAGATGATAAAAAGGAGTACACACGAACAGTGAAGCTTGAAGAAATTGACAAAGGAGATGTAAGAAATTACACACATATCTTTGAATCAAACAATTTAATTAAATTTGATACATCACATAAAATTGAAGTGGAAGGAGTCACAAGAGGTGCCGTAGAATTAAATAAATCTCTCTTTGAGACAACACCACTGTATGCCATTCAAGATCACCTTGGGAAGTATCATCAAGTAAAGACAGTTCAGCAAGAAGAAATCCTAAGAGGTGATGTAAGAAGTTGTAGGTGGCTTTTTGAAACAAGACCCATTGACCAGTTTGATGAAAGCATTCATAAATTTCAGATAATTAGAGGGATATCTGCACAAGAAATACAGACTGGAAATGTGAAATCTGCTAAATGGTTGTTTGAAACGCAACCACTTGATTCAATTAAATATTTTAGTAATGTGGAAGACATAGAAAGTAAAACTGAACAAGCTACAGATATTGTTAAAGGGGATGTCAAAACCTGTAAATGGCTTTTTGAAACTCAACCAATGGAGTCTCTTTATGAGAAAGTTTCTTTAAAGACTGACTGTGAAGAAATTCATAAGGGAGATGTCAAAACCTGCACTTGGCTCTTTGAAACTCAATCACTTGATACCATAAAAGATGACTCTGAAACAACAGTCAAATCACAAACTGTAAAACAGGAGGAGATCCAAGGTGGAGATGTTCGTACAGCATGTTTTCTTTTTGAGACTGAAAATTTGGACAACATACAAGCAGAAGGGAAGGAAATCAAACCCGTGGAAATAGATATACAAGCTGGGGATGTCTCTAACATGAGGCACAAATTTGAAAATCAGTCCTTAGATTCTATAAGTTCTAGTTCAGAAGAAGTTTTGAAAAAAATCAAAACCCTAAAAACTGAAGATATTCAGAAAGGTGAAGTTTTAAAGTGTAGGTGGCTTTTTGAAAACCAACCAATTGATATGATTAAAGAAAGTCAAGAAGGTGATGAATTAGTTAAGACAGTGACAGACATACAAGGTGGGGATGTAAGGAAAAGGTGCTTTATTTTTGAGACTTTTTCTTTAGATAAGATTAAAGAAGAATCAGACTATATTGACACAAAGAAAACAGTTGCTGAAGAAATAATAAAGGGTGATGTAAAAAGCTATAGAATGCTCTTTGAAACACAGCCACTCTATGCAATTCAAGACCGAGAAGGTTACTATCATGAAGTGACAACAGTCAAAAAGGAAGAGGTAATTCATGGAGATGTACGAGGAACAAGGTGGCTTTTTGAAACAAAACCATTAGATTCAATTAATGAATCAGAAACTGTGTATGTTATCAAATCTGTCACACAAGAAGATATTCAGAAGGGAGATGTTAGCTCTGTCAGATACAGATTTGAAACTCAGCCACTTGATCAGATTTCAGAAGAATCCCATAAGATTGTGCCCACTGTTGACTATATTCAAGGTGGCAATGTGCAAACGAGTAAACAACTCTTTGAGTCTGAAAATTTGAATAAGAATAATTATATAAGAACAGTAAGTGTCAATGAAATACAAAAAGGCAATGTTAAAACATCTACCTGGCTATTTGAAACCCATACTATAGATGAGTTGAGAGGTGAAGAGTCTGAATATGAAAATATCAAGACTGTCACCCAGGAAGATGTGCAGAAAGGTGATGTTAAGCATGCAGTTTGGCTTTTTGAAAATCAGACTTTAGATTCTATTAAGGAAGTCGATGAAAGCATCATACAAATGACCAAGGAGGAAATTCCTCCTTCTGATGTTAAGACAACTACATGGCTTTTTGAAACAACACCCCTTCATAAATTTAATAAAAACAGAGTAGAGAAGGTAGAAATTATTGGCAAAAGCATTAAAGAAACCTTAGATGATCTCTACTCTCAAAAAGTTATTGAAGCTCCTGGCATCATCATTGAAGCTAATGAAGTTGGGGATGTTCGAATGGCAAAATACATGCTAATGAACCAAGCATCTCCCCAGATACAGAAAGAAGAAGTTATCAGGGCTGATCTTAGAAATATAATGGTGAACCTCCTTTCCAAAAGAGACTGTACAGAAAGAAATATTTCAGTTGGTGAAGATGAGAAGGGAAATGTTAATTTGACTAAAACTCAACTATTAAACAGATCAACTGAATTTCATGCTGAAAAAGAAGAGATTGTAAGAGGCGATGTACAACAAGCAATAAAAAACCTGTTCTCTGAGAAAAGATCTGCAAAGAAAGGCATTTTAATTCAAGAAGATGAAAAAGGAGATATTAACATGACTATCTATTGTCTTCTCCATGAAAATGCTAGTGACACAATTGAACGTGAAGAAGTAATAGGGGGTGATGTGAAACGTACCATTCATAATTTGTTGTCTTCAACATCAAACAATAAAATATGTGAAAAAGCTAAAATTGATGCCTCTGAAAGGGGAAATGTTCAGTTTTTCACAACTTGCATAGAAACTGGAGCTTTGGATTATCTCAAACAACTACAGATGGGGTCAAATGAAACACTAACAGCTAGAAAACAAGAACAGGAAGAAATAATTGGTGGGGATGTTGAGGGCACAAAACTGTTACTAAAGAAAAGGCAGTCTCAGGTTGAACGTACTGTTAATGAAGCTGACATCATCCCAGGAAACGTACATAATACAGTTAAGGTTTTTATGACAGAGCCTCAGAGTACATCTTGTAAGATTCACAAAGAAGAAATGATAAAAGGTGACTTGAAATCAACCCTAAATTCCCTTAGCCAGGCCATAAGTCAGAAAACATTGGCAAAAACAGAAGAAACTATAAAAGGAGAGATGCTAGCCACCCTCAAGTCACTTAAGGAATCAAGTCATCAATGGAAAGAATCTAAAAAGCCTGATGCCATCCCTGGTGATATTGAGCAAGCTATTGAATGCCTTGAAAAGGCTGCAAATACACGGACAGAAATCCTGAAAAAAGAGCTTATTCGAGAAGACCTTGAAACATCATTAAGGTCTTTGAAGGAAGCACAGAAAGGCTTCAAAGACGTAGATAAAAAAGAAGGTGTAATCAAACAAGATGTTCAAGCCATGATGGTAGGTTCCTTGGGCAAACAGAAAACAGACATTTGTCAGGTGGCTGTCCAGAAGAACAAAAAACACACTTTTCAGCCAAGACCAGGACCATTTGAGCCAACAGCCAGGTGGCAGGGGGAAACAGACACTCTTGATCAAACTACAGGCAAATTTCACCATGGAAATTTAATAAATGAAAGAACTGAGGTTAATCTTCCTAAAGGCCCCAAAGGTGCGGTAAAGATTGTCATAGATCGTGAACAAAACAACCATGCTCTGGAGAAAAGCTTCAGAAGAATGTCTAATTCACATCACAAAACTATTAAACATGTATTAGAATCAGAGGACAGGATGAGTGTTTATAGTGATACCTCAAGAGAACAGCATCTTCAAGATGACCATATGAGTAGACAGTTACCTTCAATTATGTCAGTTAATGAAAATCTAAAAACTGAAGAATCAGAGAGAGTGAGAGACCAGAGGAACGATGATGTCTTTAACTCCACCCAATCTGGTAGTAAAACAGTTATAAAACAACAGAGTCAAACCTCCAAACTGAAGAATGGTCACCAGAACACTGAACCTTTCCCTGTAATGAGTCAGAAAAAGAGCAGATCAACAAATACACAAAGCTCCGAGCCCAGTTTCACCCAGTGTCCAGTCAACATGCCAGTTGGAGAAACTTACAAAGTTACAGAGGACTTTCTGAAGCAAACTTTGTTAAAACAAGAAACACAGTATTCTAATAAGGAAATGAAGAAAAATAACATGAACTTTCAACCTCCATCTGTAGATCAAGACATATCCAATGTAACAGAAGTGAAAGTCTCTGAAAAAAGTCACAATAAATTCAAGGCAACTGACAAAAAGCAGAAGACTGATGTTTATCTGAAAAGCCAGGACTTTCTAATGAAGACAAATACTTCCACAGACTTAAAAATGGCAATGGAAAAGTCTTCTAATCCAATCTATGTTAACCCTGAGAATAATGTAAAAGAAAGTGAGTTTCCCCTTCCACCTCCATCTCCACCTCCTCCACCACCTTCTAATGCATCGTCTGAAATTGAATTTCCTCTTCCTCCTCCACCTCTTTTAATGATGATGCCTGAAAAAAACGGATTTTCTCCCGCACTGTCATCAGAAAAGATAAAGACTGAACTTCAAAGCTTCCCAAGCCTTCCTCTTCCTCCACCACCAGTAGATGAGAAATCTGAAAGAGACTGTCTATCAATGATTCTACCACCTCCCCTTCCTCCAACTCCATCTGAAAATTCAGCACATCTCCTTTCCTCCTCTACTCAAGAAAAGCACAGTGAAGCATTTATACAACAATATTCCCAGAAAGAAGCCTTAAGTTCTCAGCAAACTAATTCTCAGGCTAAAATTGTAACAGGAAAATCAGGAGTACGTTTGCCACCTCCCACACTCCCTAAACCCAAATTTCCCAAGCAAATAGAAGATAAAATGAGCCATCTTTCCCCGAACGTTGAATTGGAAAATTCCCTGTCAGATATGGAATGTAAAATTACTCCTTCAAAAGAGAATAAAAGGATTATGATGGTGACTAGCAGTGAACACACAGAGACAGAGCAGAACATAATCAGAAAAAGCCTTGATGAAAGAAAACAATTATCTATTGACTCTGCAAAGTCTCTCTTGCACACAATTCCAGAAACTTCAGCACCCAAGAAAAAACAGACAGTACCTCTCATAAAATCTCACTCATTTCCAGTGAGTTCAGAACCACAAAGTCCAAAACCTTATATGAGAAAATTTAAGACACCTTTAATGATTGCTGAAGAAAAATATAGACAACAAAGAGAAGAGCTTGAAAAACAGAAACAGGAGAGTTCTTGCTATAATATAGTCAAAACAGAAGGCCCAAGTCAAAACACAACAGAGTTAGAGAAGGAAATGCAATTGCAAAAGACAAGTGAGTTGGTTCTCCTACCTGGAATGAATTCAGAGCTCTCTGTGGCCCAAACCAAACCAGATTCTCAAAATGATGCTCAAGCACTAGATGTGTGCACTGATAACCAGCTCTCCACATCAGCAGTGACAGTGGCTGCCAAGAGGCTCAAACATGTTCTACATACCTCTGAAGATCAAAATAACATGAAAAAGGAAGTTTTACAGAGTTCAAGTGATATCATACAACCTAAGTCAGCTTTTGAAATTAAACAGAATCACCAAGAATGTACACAAAAAACACACCAGAAGTATCTAGAACAGTTGCACTTGCCCGAGAGCAAATCAGTTTCTTCAAGTTTTAAAGTTAAAACCATCAAGCTTCCAACCCTAGAACATACATTAAGTGAAACAGACCACAGCTACAAAAGCCACATAAAGCAATCTGAAGTTGATATTCAAACCATTACCAAACAACAGTGTCAAGAAACTGAGAAAACTGAAGCAAACATCAAATATAGTAATAAGCAACCTGTCACTGAAAAATATTATCAAATACCTAAGAAGGAGAGAAGAGTGACAATAAAAACACCTACAGAATTAACAGAGAAGAGCCATCAAGGTAAGCTCAAGATAGTTCCTGAGAAACAAAGAGAATTTAGGAAATCTGAGAGAGAAATATTTCTAGGAAGTGAAGAAAAAAAACAGGAATTATCAATGATTGGTCTAAAAGAAGAGGGATTAACAGTTGAAAGAAAACAGGAACATTTGAAAAGTAAGTCAACCCCAAAGGTAGTCGAGCAAAAGGTAATTGATACACATCTTGATTCACAGACTCAGAATTTTCATCAAACACAAATACAGACTTCTGAAAGTAAAGCTGAACATAAAAAACTGTCCCAGCTGTATAATAGTCTGCAAGAAGAAAAATGTCTTGGAGCCAAGGGCACACAACAGAAACAAGTCTTCTCTAATACCAAAGATTCAAAGCAAGAGATTACACAGAACAAATCTTTACTTTCCTCTGCGAAAGGATCCCAGCAGGATGATGGAAAATGTGCTGTAAATATATTGGAATTCTTGAGAAAACGTGAAGAACTACAACAGATTTTGTCTAGAATAAAACAGTTTGAATCAGAACCAAATAAAAATGGCCTTAAAACATTTCAAACACTGTTAAATATCACTCCAGTATGGCTGATAAGTGAAGAAAGAAGAGAATATGGAGTTCGCATTGCCATGGAGAATAATTTAGAAAAAGTCAAAGAAGAAATAACACATATTAAAATTCAAGCAGAGGAAATGCTTGTGTCCTGTGAAAATATAATTCAAACAGCCATGATATCCTCCCAAACAGGAAAGCAAGGAAATAAGTCTACTAACCTTAATGAAATATCATCAAAAGTATCTAATGTTAATATCAGCTCTAATAAAAATACTGAGCAGAAAGAAGATAAAATTGCAGAAGAAAAAACAGTGCACCACCAAGTAGCAACTCATCATGAAACAACTGCTGTTAATCATGCAAAAATTCATCAAGAAATTAAACTAGATAGTAGCAAAATTTCTTCTCCCTCTTTAAAGACACGCCCTCCATCACCTACTTTTATAACAATTGAGTCTACTGCCCGGCGATCAGAAACATCTAGTAAGGATGAGCCTTCTCAGTCCGCTACAAAGGACAGTTGGATTGAAACCCCACCAAGAAGGCCCATTTCACAGACATCTAGAATTCACAGAACAAACACCTCCCCTTCTCCACCTAGGAGTCGCTCTGAACAACTTGTCAAACTCAAAGACACTACTGCAAAGTTATCCAAAGGGACTATTCCATGTCCATCAGTAACCCCTGTTTCAGTTGTAGAAAAAAGGTCTGAAATCATCATGTCTCCTGCAACACTTCGTCGTCAGATTAAGATAGAGACCCGTGGAAGGAACTCTCCACCTACAATTACAATACCAGTAAACGTAAATCATGTTGCTACTGGTTCCTTCAGAGAATCTATGGAAGCTCAAGAGGAAGTTAGGAAAGTAGAGAAAACAGCAACTTATGTTCACAAAGATGGAGTGAACTCCACTAACTGCATAGTGCCTGATACTGAAAGTTATGATGCAGTTGAAATCACCCGCAAGGTTGCAGTGCCCTGCTTGTCAGAGCACATGCAGAGATATGAAGCAGCCAACCGAACTGTTCAAATGGCTAAAAATTTCATGAACGATGGTGAAAATGAAATAAACAGATGGTTCAGAGAATTTGAGGATGGTCCATTTTTTGATGCAAAGTCAAATAGAAGAGTTTATGCAAATGGGGAAGGAACCCATAATATCCAACAAGAAAGTCATACATTTTGTAAGGAGGAATTTGGATTAACAACTTTAGGAAACACTGGTTTTACAGGCTTTTCTCACAAACATCCTGGAGCAATGCAAGAAAAAATTCCTGTTAAACAGCCTAGAGTACACTCTGAAACACGATCTCTAAGTGAACATTTCTCAGGTATGGATGAATTTGAGAGTCGAATTGTTGGACCAAAGATGACAACTTCTTCATCACATAGCTCAGAGGCCAGCAAATCTGGCTTTGACTTCAAGCATGCGCCCCCAACCTATGAAGATGTCATTGCTGGCCATATTTTAGATATCTCTGATTCACCTAATGAGCTCAGGAGGAATTTTCAAAAGACATGGCAAGAGAGTGAACGAGTTTTTAAAAGTCTGGGATATGCAACTTCAGGTGCTTCTGCAACTGAGATGAATACTACCTTCCAAGAGGAATCTGCATTCATAAGTGGTAAATGAACTTGCAAAGTGTGAAAGATTAACCCATCTAAAGTCATGTTCCATAGCCAATATGGTTTGTAATTAAGACTGTGTGTGAATAACCAAACGAAACTACCTAAGCTAACAGCTTCCTCTCTATGCTTGTAACTTCTTTCAAAGGCATGTTTTTACTATTTTCTCCTTACAAAAGCATCTTGTATGATTCACCTGCACTGTGTGAAAATAACAAATATTCTTATATAAATTATTAAGACCTATATCTGTCAAAGTACATAAGACTTTGGATAATGTATTAGATATAATGATGGTTATTATGATAGTATTAATGATTATACATAACTATATATTTGTTAATAACTATAAAACAGCACATTACTATTCTTGCTAATTAAGTTATTTAATCTAATTTTTAGATGATATTAGATAGCATCCCTTGACCTAATATTGACATATGTTTAACTGCCAAACTTAAGTGGTCTTTACATTGAATTTGATACAACCTAATAATTCAAGAAACAATTTACACTCTTCTTATGTGCTTTAAATATTTTTATTGATCTGTATCCCTACGAAAGTGTAGGTGTGGAATTAAACCTTTTATATATTTAATTATTGTTATTGAGTTGGATAGAGTTAGTTCAGTGATGCTACATTTTTTTCTCGCAATTGATTTTTTCACCTTTCTGAAAACAAGCCTCAAGTGAGAGCTCAATTGATCCCATTCACAGATGAATATGGACTATACATTTCAAATTTTTATTATATTTGGAAAAAGGGAGATTTAGGCCAGATGAACCTAGCACTTTTTTTAAAACATCAGGGAACATCTAATTTCCTTTTATTTTCTCTCTTTTTTATAATTAATGAGGCTTCACTATAAAAGAATGAGTTATAATTAATGTTCATCATTAGTGTGGTCAGTTCCTTTATACAAATTGAAAGAAATAGCAAGCTTAAAAATGAAAACTACTGAAACTAATAATTATGCTGCTATCATATTTGCAACATATGTGTCTACTTTATCAGATTAATATGGCTTTTTAATGTGCTTTCTTCAGGAATAATTAAAAATATCTGTCTAATTAATTTCAGTTTCCATTATAGTAGCTGAAAATCACAATATATACAAAGAAAAAAGTTAAATACTGAAATGTGCTCCTCATGAGAACCAAATAAGCAAAGAAGAACTCTGAGTAGCCCAGATGCAGCATCTAAGTGTTGAAGTATATACATTTATTTTTTAAAAGAGCATATTTGCTTTTAATACAATTAATATGAAAGTTTAGCTATTCTCACAGTTCTGTTATAGGGATTGAAAGCAATAACACAGTAAAATCTCTGTGTTAGCTTTGACCCACTATACAAACACTAATTAATAACATAGCTATTATTGTTCATAGGGACTATGATTCACATGAAAGTAAGAGTGACTGAAGGCAAGAGAAGTAGAACTGTAAAAAGTAGACATGGAAACTCAAAAACTGTAAAATCTAAAGCCATTTAGACCAAGAACAAATGGCTCTACACATTTCAATGTATTCAGAGGTCTTAGTTAAGAGATGGTATCATACAGTCAATCTTATGTCATCAAGAGAATATTTATCAATGCAATGTCCTTGTTTTACAATATGTGCATATATTTTATAAAGATCTATCCAGAATGCTTTGAAAAGTAAAAACTTTATATGTAAACCTTTAGCTACATGGAAAATTCTGTTGTTTGGAATGATAAATTCTCTCAGAGCTTCCCAGAGCTGAGCTTACTGTATACAGTTTTAATGCATTAAAGTTAATGAACATATTTTACTTGTGTATGCTTTTTTATATAATCGAAATCAACTCATTCAATGTATAAATAATAGAAACACTAGAGTACTTTCCATCATAGAGTACTTTCCATCATATTGATGCATTTTTACATAGAAAAATGCCATGACTTTCCCAACAAACTGTAATAGCATCAGAGCCTCCAAATTGATGATAGGATCATCGATGTCCAAAGAAACACTATCAAGGCAATAATCTGCACTTTAACTGCATGGTTAGTTAATGCGTTATTCTTTTCTTATGTTATACATTTACAAAAGTATTAAATAAAAACTGTAATCCTTTGTAAATTTTTTATTTTTAGAAACTGCCGCTCCAAGACAAGGAAATATGTATACTTTGTCAAAAGACAGTTTATCCAATGGAGTGCCTAGTAGCAGACAAGCAGAGTTTTCATAAATCCTGTTTTCGATGTCACCATTGCAAGAGTAAACTGAGGTAAAATGTTTTGTGGTCTATGGAAGAAAAATCCAAAGAACCTGCTGTGTATGTTTAATACCATTTCTCTTGGAAGATACAAGTTTTTTGTTTGTTTGTTTTTTGTTTGTTTGTTTGTTTGTTTGTTTTTTGGTTTTTTTTTTTTCAGAGCTTGCTGCTGCCATCACTTAACACAATCACATAGGGATGTGCTCGTGTTCAGTAATGCATTGATCAGGATGGCTGTTGCATTCTTTCTTTTGGAATTTTGCTTTCCTAGTTAAATCCAGAAAGATTCATTTTGTGCAAAAATGGAGATCATATGAATACTCTCCCCCCAAATTGAGACTTCCTGTGCAAATCAGGAGTGTAGACTACAGATCAAAGTGTTTACAGATACATATTTTTTTTTTCCTAAAGGGCTAAAGAATAAATATTTTTAGCCTTGTAGGTCATAGTGTTTTCATTGCTACTTAATTTCCGTTGCAGATCAAGTATTTACAGATACATTTTTTTTTCCTAAAGGGCTAAAGAATAAATATTTTTAGCCTTGTAGGTCATAGTGTTTTCATTGCTACTTAATTTCCGTTGCAGTTCAAGAGTGATTATAGATAACTAAACAAATGGGTAGAGCTGTACATGATTAGGCTTCACTGTATTCTGATGACCTTCATACACCAAAACAGGTGGTAAGGTAGGTTTGTCTATGCTTGGGCTAGACTACCTAGGCACAAAAAGCAAAACAAAAAGAATTTAGTGACAGGTCAGAGATAAATTCTTACTTTTTCACTGGAGCAATGGAGGCATCCTATCACCAGAGTTATGAATGTACTCATTTTCCAAAAGTCTTGAAGTAAATGCATTTAAATGAATGTGGCATTTCAAGTATTTGATGTGACTGTGGTCTGTGATGCTGAAATGGAAAATTATTTTTGCTAAATCTAATGTGCATCTTTCAGGCTATATCTTTCCTGACTTTAATTGACAATGTCAAACACCCCTTATTGCAACATTTCCCCCCTTGGTTTCCATGACAACAGAGTATAATGATTTCCCCCTAGCTTCTGGGTACTCCTTTTCAGGTGCCTGTGTGGGTGACTCTGCCCATTACCTAGATATGAGTTTCTCAGAATCTTGTTATGGAAATTTATCGTCTCACTGTTTCTATTCTGTCTGGTGAATCACATCCATTCTCATGACTTATATCACCATCCATGTGGTAATGGCTCTGAAATCTGTACTGCTAGTCTGGATCTGTCCTCTGTATATAATATGCTTAAATCTCAATGACTAGCATATTTCTACAACTAGATTTTTCAAAAGTACAGCAAACTCAATAAGTCCTATTGTCTTCTGTCAAAATTCCTTCTCTGACTATGTATAGTCTGTTTGCCAATTTCTACATAATGACATTAGCATTAATTCAATGATATAAAAACTATATATATGTGAAGTTACCTTTGACTTCCTCTCCTCCGCTCCTTACATTGAAGCCATAACCGAGTCCTGCAATTTCTGTACCATAAATACCTTTTGAGCTGTACCCTTTTCTCCATCCAAGTAATTCAGCTATTCTTCAACCAAGAATCATCTCTCACCTATACTAATGCAACAGCCTTTCTAGCCAGCTGTTCTCCCCACCTGCAGTATAATTACCAACACCACCACCGTCTGTCCCATTATGTAATGAGAATGATCTTCCTAAAATAAAATTCTAAAATTACTGCCTTGTTTAAAATATATAATGAGGGGCCAGCAGGTGGTTCAGTGGTTAGGACACTGGACTCCCACATGACTGACCACAGTTTGAGTCTCAGACCCAGCATCTTGCTTTCCACTTTCTCTCTCTCTCTCTGTATCTCTCTGGTGAGTGCATTTGCCTTATAGAAATCTTTAAATAATAAGAAGAAGAATAAGAAGAAATAAATTAAATAAGTAATTCTTTTTAAAAAGTAAAATAAAATATATGATGACTTCACCTGTCTACTCTGCCCTCCTACCCAAACCTAACAGTGTAACAAAAATTAAAAGACAATTCATGGTCTAGCTTCTGTTCTCTCAACATCTGCCATCCCTACTCCCTCTCATTTACATGTTACTTCAGACCTCAACCGAAACAGTATCTTCCATGAAGTGTGCTTTGATCCTCATGTGTTGGTCAAGTGTCCTTCCTGTGTGTTCCCATAGCATTTCCTGTTCTTGCCTGATTCTTATCACACATCCTCAGTACTAGGAACAATATTGTTTGCCTTGCCAACACCGAATAGAAGAAGACATGCAATAAGAATTCAAACATGTTTATTCATGCCCAACTGCACTGGTACAAATGGTAGGACACTGAAGAAGGCTGAAGCTGCACAGGGCACCTGAGTTTGATTCCTGAATCAACCTAAAGAAGCCAGGCTCTGTGATGCAGGCCTATGGTTCTGTTTAACTGAAACACTGAGGTAGGACCATCATGACATGGTGAGCGCCTGTCAAAAAATCAATCAATCTCTCTCTCTCTCTCCATAAAACAAAGAAAAAACAATTATGCAAATGTCAATGTAAATTATGATAGTATGAATATTTAAAACACTATCAAAATTAAAAACACAATGTTAACAGACACACCAGATACACAGAGCTTTCAGGTGCCCCATCCAAATATAACCCACTATCTTTCTCTCATAAGTCAATAATATTTTTTAAAATAAATTCCTTGAATTTAATAGTTTTCTTATCCCAATGTGCTTTCCTGGACACTATACTATTGTTTTGCCCATTTTTAAAAAACTTTAATATATCTTTTAAGTCTCTTAAAATGTACAGAATTTCCTTCCATTCTTTCCTTTCACTTCTTTTTTATTTTTCATAAAGAGAGATTTTTGCTATAGGGTGTGTGTGCTCACCTGAGAGACAGAAAGTGAGAAATCCCCCACACACGTACCCAGGAAGGATGGCAATCCCTTCTCCTCTGGTCTCCTCTCGGGATTGTAGGCACCTGGCATGAGTTTTAAGCCACCTGGATCCAGGACTCAACCATGGTCGACTATGTGGGAATACAACAATGTAACCAATTATGCCATCTGCTGATCCTATCATTTCATAAAATGTATTCGTGAAGGGGGCTTGACAGTGGCATGGTAGAATGTGACACTCTACAAGGTAATTCTGCATAGGAAGTTTCTCAGTTCTAACTGTAAACTTCCTTGAGTACTCAAATTTAAATATTCAGCCTCACTAGCTTCTTAAGTCTTTCTTACCACAGGACCCTTGCACTTTCTGGCTGTTGGAGGGGACAAAGCTCCCTTCATTGTTGGCTGCTACCTTCTAATTGAATGTGATAGTTTCCAAGAACCATTGCCTGCTGTTTTGTAGTTTTATATTTTCAGATCCATGAGACACCCTCCTTGCTTCCTCTGCAGTCACCTATAGAGATGAGACTATCATGAATCTACTGATGGTTTATCCTTTCCTCCTTTGAATTTTGACCTTGGTGGGGCTACCTTGTCTCTTCATATGATTGTTAAATGTTACTTGAGGACTATAAGATTTGCTATTTAGTAGTATCAGCTTTTATGTATAGATTCAAATATTCAAAAACTATGCTACTGACTCTCAATTAGATTTTTTTTGTTTTAGTTTGCTATAGAGCATGTGAATTCACCCAGGAGAGAGAGAGAGAGAGAGAGAGAGAGAGAAAAGTAATAAGGGAAATCATCCCATGGAAGAGTGTCCATGCATCAATCCCTTCTCTTCCATTCTCCTTTTGTCCTCTTTGGATTCTGGACACATGCACATGCACCTGGAGTATTTGTCAGGTCTCTAGTTCCTGGACTTGAAGCACTCAATTGGCCATGTAGGATTTAGTCACTTTATGTTCTGCGTCACCTGCCAGCTCTAAATTTTATTTAACACCCACTCTATTTTTTGATCTCCTGAAAGAAGCCAAATAAGCAATTGTGTGGGCAAACTTTCTAATTCATTCAAATAACGAAGTTGAAATAGTTGTTGTTTGTGTGTGCACTGCTCGAAGTTTATTGAGAACCGCAGCCCTTCATGGAATCACTGAAGTACAGGTTTAGTACTATCATTCTGTATGATCTATAACCACATGGCATTACCTTTTCTGGCAATATCGGACATGCATGTTGAAACTGTAAATACTGCAAAACACACATCATGGGGAATATTGGTGGTAACTACTATCTAATAAGAATGTTCAATTAATAGGGTCATTTCTATTACTAGCAAGTTAATTTCACTGATTCTCTAACTTATTATTGAAATAATTCCCCCCAATTCCCTATGAATTTACAGTAATTAGAATGTTAAGTTTATTATTTTTTTTTCTTTTTGGCAGTTTGGGAAACTATGCATCACGTCATGGACAAATATACTGTAAACCTCACTTTAAACAACTTTTCAAATCTAAAGGAAATTACGATGAAGGCTTTGGACACAAACAGCATAAAGATCGATGGAACTGCAAAAATCAAAGCAGCTCAGGGGATTTTATTACTGAAGAACCAAATATGTGTAAAAATACTGCAGCAAACACCCTCATACCTGGAGATCGTAATAAACATTTAAATGCTGGTAACAGTAAAGGGCAGAGGGATGATTTACGGAGATTAGGGGAAAGGGGAAAATTAAAAATCATTTGGCCTCCTTCCAAGGAGATCCCTAAGAAAACCTTCCCCCTTGAGGAAAATCTCAAAATGAATAAACCTAAATGGCCACCTGAGATGACAACTGCTGCATCCGCTGAGTTAAAAAGCGAACCACTTCTTGAACATATTAGAACCCTGGAAAATAAAGGACAAGAACAAGAAAACCTTTATTCCCTGCAGCCACATCCACAGTCCACCCACGTGTGTCAGAAAGCGGATGTTTTGGGACTCAAAGAAATGAAAATGTATGAAACAAGAAAAGAAGACAAAAAGGAAGGAAATAAGAATGTTCAAGATAAGAACGAGAGTGAAGATACAAAGAATAAGAGGAAAAGTGAAATGGATCTTAATGACAGCAGTAATGTGGTTGTACAGAGTGTGGAAAAGGAGAAAAATGAAAAAATGAATGGACTTGATGGTGCAGAAGTCTTACAGGTTACTAACAGGGATGATGAGATACTGCCAGAAACTCATAAAGAAAACCTAAATAAGAATAATAATAACAATTATGTATCAGTCTCCTATCTGAATAACTGTAGGCAGAAGACATCTATTTTAGCATTTCCTAACCTATTACCACTGTCAAGAGAGGCAAACTACACTGCAAGTGAATATCACATTGAAAAGTTAGAAAGCGCAACTAGAATCTCAGAGTTACTTGGTGTATTTGAGTCTGAAAAGACTTATTCAAGGAATGTGGTAGCTATGGCTTTTGAGAAACAGACTGACAGAATGGCTGCTGGCAGTCGTATGCAGTCTGCTCCCAAACCAGGCCTTCATCAGGACTCAATACGAAAGGGGGAAAATTCGGTAGTCTCTTCTGATAGGAATATCTTAAACATTAAAGGAAACCATTCTAATAACAAAAATTTACACTTTTTCTTTTCTAACACTGTGAAGATTACTGCTTTTTCCAAGAAAAATGACATCTTTGAGTGTGATTTACTAGATTCTGTAGATCAAATTAAAAATATGCCATGTTTGTGTTTAAGAAAATTTGGAAAGCGCATCAAACATGGGCATGGTGAAGTAACAGAAGCAGCCCACAGTAGTGGAAACACAAATTTTGATGGCCTAAGCCATGAATGTGCAGCTAAGCTTTCATCTCCTAGAGTGGAGGTCCAAACAGAACAACTTACAGTGGAAGAACAGATCAAAAGGAATAGGTGCTACAGTGACACTGAGTAAAATATCTTTGTCCACTTGTGGTCCACTCTCAAACACTGAGAGACCCTGACATCCTGAAATAATATTTAGGGATTTTGATAACCTTTTGTTGAACTTGTTGAAATCTCAAGAAGTCAGAAATCACATCTTTAACAATGGGATATTTCTTATGTCATAATTTCTAATTATTTTCATAATGCAGTTGAATCTACTTTGGTTCTAAATGGAATTGAGATTAAACAAAATGCTATATTTTCATGTCAACTAGTACTTAAGTATATCACACTGTTTTTCTATATAACATCATAAATAACATTCTATACCTCTCATATTCATCACAATTTTTACACCTTCTCTATAATTTTTATTAACTAAAATAGATTCATCTGGTGTGCAAACCAAAATACTTCTGTAACTTTTTTCCATCTATATTGCTATTCAAAGTATATATGGTTTTCATGATTTAGGAAGTATTTGTTCTGGAACAAGCATTCACCACCTACAGAAACAATTCTGGAAAAAATAAATTATATACTGAAAATGAATTATCTGTTGTTAGGTTTTTTTTGTTGTTGTTTGTTTGTTTTTTGAGAGATATCTAAGTCATGGGTTGTATTAGTTTACTAAGGCAGTCATAACAAATTACCACAAAATGGGTGACTTAAACAACAGAATTTAATTTTCTCACAAATCTGGAAGCTGAAAGGCCAATGTCAAGGTGAAGGCAGGGCTAGTTTCTCCTGAGGCCTCTCTCTCCTTGGCTTATAGATGGCTGCTACCTCATTGCTATCCTCATGCGATCTCTCCTCTGAGTCCTCCTACCTCTGGTGTCTCTTCTTAGAAGGAAATCAGTCCTATGGGACTAGGAACCACCCATGTGATTTAACTTGACTCACTTCTTTAAAGGCTCAATTTTACGGTCACATTCGGGGGTTAAAGACTCAATATACAAGTGTTGTAGGGGTGTGATTCAGTTCATAATATACATTTCTACACAATTTAACCCAACACTGGGATAGTCTGCCAAGAGAATGGCATGCTACAGGGCTACACGTAATAGTTTTTTAATTTAAATCCAATCATTGCACTTTACTCTTCATGTATTCTTAATGACACCACATTATTTCTGCAATTCCTTATGCGAAGATAATACAAAAGTTTCCATATAGATGAAGAAATAATTTATAAAAACTCATGACACAATGTATTAATGTATACTTTCTTAATATCAACGATCCTTTTATAAAAGTTGGCTATACTTTACAAAAATCCTCTCAAGACTTGGCTCTCTTTAACCTGGTAGCTCAATCCTCTGTGCATTTATGTTACAACTTAAGATTAAATTTAGGTAATATTTGTATCAGGGAAAACAATGAAAATATTAGTATTTCATCTGCTTACCTTTCATTAAGTCAATAAAGTATTGCTTTAAATCATCTTACTTAGAAGGGGCCCAGGTGGCATGGTGGATAAAGGCAGTAGATTCTCACATAGTTAACCTGGTCCCAACCAAACCTGCTGGCTTGCTTTCTTGCTCTCCCTTTTTCTCTTTCTGTCTCTGTCTGATCAAATTTAAAAAAATAAATAAATAAATAATTCTTTTTTAAAAAGACCTTAATTAGAAACATCATTATATTATAATTGGTTGTATCACTATGGATAATATGTAGGAGTGTATAAGAAATTTAAATATGCTTAAGTTTAAATACAGTTTTTCATAATAATGGATTCACTCTAATTATGACAAAATCTTCCAGCTAAGCAGGAAGCTTTGTGAACTACAATATAAGCTAAATACACATATGAAAAATTGGTATTAGTTTGCTAGGACTGCCATAGCAAAATATCACAGAATTAATGGCTAAAATTTATAGAAATTTATTTTCTCAGAACTCGATAGCCTAGGACAGTCTAAGAGCAAGGTGAGGATAAGGTTTTGGTTGTTATTTGTTTTCTGAGGCCTCCCTCCTTGGTAGGTAGATGACTGTTTTCTCCTCATGGTCTTCTACTTGTATCCAAACTTCTTTGTATAATAACACCAATCACATCAGGTTAAGGCCCATCCTATGTGACCTAATTTTACCTTCACTATCTTTGTAAATACCCTATCTCCAAATAAAGTTACAATCCGATGTACTTTGGGTTCAGATTTCAATTTATGAATTTTGGAAAAGTATAATTTAGCTCATAAAAACATATTTAATCTTTAACTGCTTAATACACAGCAATTACTATAATGAAACAACTTTCCTAAATTTTTTTCATTTTGGATATATACCACAGAACACAATAATATATGGATTTTTGCTGCAAAATTTATTCTAAGAAGAAACTTCTTTTACAAAAGTATCAACATGGCCTATGATAGACCATCTTGCTTTCTTGCTATATGCTAATATGCTATACCACAAGAGGCTGTGTGTTGAAAATGCTTGGCATGTAAGGGACTTTGCATTATTTATTCAAGACTAGACTTTCTGATAAATCTTGGAAAAATGTTTTCTTCCTCAGAATGTCATGCTGATTGTCCTTTTCTGTTTCCCCTTCTTTGTACTGGGACAACAGTAGAGGCCAGTAGGTGGCATGATGGTTGAGGCGCTGGACTCTCATATGGCTGACCATGGTATGAGTCTCAGACCTGGGGATTTCCTTTCTCACTTTCCTTCTCTCTGTCTCTCTCTGGTCTAAGTTAAAATAAAATTAAATTAAAATAAATAAAATAATTCTGAATTGTGACAATGGCTTTTCCCACAGTGCAGTAAAACCAAAGAATGCAAACCTATCACTAATTCCCTAGTGGACAACAATTTGTACATCTGACATATTTTTACCCAAACTAACAATTTTCTATAAGTATCTCTAGAGTAATTTCTAAAGAGTCACTAATTTTTTTTTTTTGAGAGGTTTTTGCTATAGGGCACGTGTGCTCACCAGACAGACAGAGAGAGACAGAGAGATAGAAAGCAGGAAATCACCCCCCAGGGGGGATGGTCACGCCGCAATCCCTTCTCCTCCATTCTCCTCTTGGGATCTTGGGCACGCACGCACACACGCCCAGCGTGAGTTTAAGCCACTGGGTCCACGACTCGAACCACGGTCGACTATGTGGGAGTCCAGCGACATAGCCATTATGCTAACTGCTGGTCCCAAAGAATTATTTATTTAATTTTTTAATTTTTATTATTATTATTATTTTTAATTTAACCAGAGAGAGACAGAGAGAGCAAGCAGGAAAGTGAGAAAGCAAGCCGCCAGGTCTGAGTCTTGAACCACAGCTGGCCATATAGGAGTTCAGTGCCTTTAACCACCATGCCACCTGCTGGTCTAAAGAGTCATTAATTTTTCAAGTGACTAGAAGATAGAAAAAGAGTACTATTTTTGCTAGTAGTTAGTAATTACTAACTACTGGTTACTATCCGGTTGAGAGGTAGAAAAATGTTCATTGCCAAGAAAATGAACTTATAGAAAGATAATCACAGATGTTGAAGTAAAAAGGAAGTGAAATATATATATATATATTCTTTTTGGAAATGTTACTGAAAACCAAGGATGATTTCTAAATCTAGTGTAAAATTTGGAAATGCACAGGCTTTAAGAATAATATAAGATCTTATCTTGGAACAAATTGAATTTACATGGTGACCAAACTGGGCCACAGAAATTTTAAAATAAGAAGAATGAGGGCACATGAGAGGTACTGAAGAGTGCTGAGCCGCAATCCTCTAGAAATTAACTCTCACAGAAGTCAATAAATGTTTTTTGATAAATGTAATCTACAAATAATGTAACCTCAACCTTGACGAAGGTTGAGTCTTTCTTTGGAAAAACTAATTTAAGCTATTAAATGAGGTCCATTTATTGTGGATATTTTCTCCTAAAATATTATGAGAATTTCTAAAACTTCACATGCTTGTATACAAATGAAATACTGGAGAAAATACAATAGGAGAGAATCTATAGTACATCATTATCCTTCAATTTAATGCCTTTTCTTAGAAAATAAAATGGTTGGAAAACGAATAGAAATCTTGACTAAAAAAATGCTATCACATCATTCAGTCAATAGCCATTCCATGAGCGTTTGTGAGGACATTGGTATTCACTGGCAAGAGATCGAGAAAGACACGATAAATCATGGTATCACCATATAAAGTTCTCAGATTCGAAAGAGGCATCAAAAAATAAAACAAAATAGCAAATTAGAGTTGATGCTTATGGAAGTTTAAGATTCATGTAAATGTATAACCATGAAGACTTGTTAATTTGGAGACTGTAAAATAATAATAAGCAGGAGGAAAAGCGTTTTGGACTTGAGTAAGCAGTAATCATTTTGTCATGGTTTACTTAGTTGTAATATGCAGATGTGGACTCATCCACAGTCAAGATTCCTTTTCAGAAATGGAAAGGATTTACTTCTGCAGATGTTTAGAGTGCTGTCCACAGAAAGCCCTTAACTGTCAGCCCCCACCAGGATTGTAGTAACTGAAAAGAGCTTGCTTTTAGAGTGTACTCTATTTAATTTTTGATCAATGGAGGGACAATTCAGCACAACTCCTAAGGGTCACTCCAGCTCTAAACTCCCTGTAAGGTTGAGAGAGACCTGTATCTCAGTTCAACTTTTTCTGCCCAATCCTGCTTTTCCCCCATCCTTCCATTATTATTATTATTATTTTTGTATTCCAAGCATACACTCTAATAAACCTCCGACACATTAACCTCTGACTCAGAATTTACTTCTTAGAGTGCCCAATTTAGACAAGCTGGTGACAGGATCAGGTCAAGAAAGCAGACACTGGAATGATATTTTAGAGCTGAATTATTTTCTGCCTGGCTGACAATGGGCACAAGATGGCAGTGCAATTGTTAAAATTCTCAGCAGTGTTATACTAGAATGGCTACACTTATTGAAGTAAATGCCCATCTGGTATCATGTTTCAAATATTTGAAACAAGTAGGGGAAATAACAATTATAAGAAAACGAAATTTAGTGACCATTGCTAAAACCTATCATTCTGAGGGGA